TATGTTTTTTATTTATTTATTTTTCACATCATTAAAAATACATTATTTTTTATATAAAAAAGACTAAAAATATTTTATAATGCTATAAATATTTTTAAGATAAAAATACCAAAAAATACTTTTCTTAAACTTATTTTCTTTTGATTAATTAATAGAACTAGGGTTTTATTTAAAATCTTTTTCCTTAATAAAATTCAAATTTAATTAATTATTTTCTTTATTTAATTAGGTGAAGACAAAATCCTTTTTTTCGTGAAAATCAAACAAAGATACATTTTCTTTACATCTTGCATTTTTTGTACATTCATTCATTTTATACTTTGTATTTATTCATTTCCTTGTACATTGATATCAATTCAATATGATTGTAATAGACTAATTAGGTTTAAATTCTTGCAATCCCCATTCATTAATTTGTACAACCCCCTCCCCACAAATGTTGATATAGCGTAGTAACTTTAAATTTTGCAATTTATCGCTTTTATATAACATGCTAGTAATAGGGTTTGCATGGAAAGACTAAAATCAATACTTAGAAAACCCTAATTCAAGACAAAAACAAGCATGAAAATGATACACTTGCACACAAGCACCCTTAGGGTTATTCCACTTGGTTGCCTAATACAAAATGGCCATATTATGCATGTAAGGTATCTTAGCAAAAACAAAACAAATACAAGATCATAGTCCCTCAATGACGCTATCTAAGTTGCCTTTCAAATTATCTTAGTCCCTAAAAATAATGTTAAGATACCTCACAATATTGCTAATCATGGTTATACGATGACCCACGCCCGTCCCGTTTACATCCAAAGATAGGGTTGCTTACCAAATCAATGGTAAGACAACAATGTCAAAGGAAAAGAAAATGAACAAGAAAGACATTTGAGTAGGTAGATTGCTCCTAATTACTTGCTCTATTTCAAAACAAACATCCTTGCTATTTTCAAAAAAAAAATCAAACACCTACACTTTCAAAACATCTTACAAAACTTGAAAACATTTTCAAAAGATCAACATCTTTGTATACATTCTTACGAACAAGAATCATTACAAAGATTGCCTAAACAATGGCCTCTTTTACAAAATACTTTCAAAAATCACGTCAAGCACAATTTCAAACAAAAAGCAAGTGATCTAGCAAGTAACTAAGATCCCATGGAAAACCATGGATGAAAAGGGTGCTAATACCTTCCCTTTTTATAATCTACCCCTCGAACTCAAGAAATAATCTCAAAGGTCTTTCCTGTGCTTTTTCACCTTTCCTTTTGGATAAAAGAAAAGTCGGTGGCGACTCTTGCAACTGCAACATTTGTGATCAAACGTAAAACACCCAAGTCAGTTCTCTTACCGTAGCACAGTAGGTTCCTAGTTTTAGCCTACAAATATTATACCCTCCCCATAAGGTGGTTATTAAGGATATCATGGATTACGCTAGAGGGAAAGGCACTAGGGCCTCACTTAAGCAGATCCTCTTTGTAGACCGAAACTTTCGTCTCAAAGGTCGTAAAAGGTCTCGCCGTGAGATTTTGGTTTAGGGTTATACAAAAAGTCATAGGTTTCATTCAAAAGTCCTACCCCAAGAGGATATCTCTTGAGACATATTTCTTTCTTGGAATTCCACCGACTCTAGGCGAAGTCGTCACAAAAACTCATATGGATGATATATCCCCTTGGCCAATAGACGAACCTTCTTTCTAAGATTTTGAAAATATTTTTTTAAAATTTAATCCCGCCAACAAATAAAAATAACAATGGTAATAATATAACAAAAGGTAAATAGACAAAAATAAATAAATAAAATAAATAAATAAAGCAAATATTGAAAACACCAAAAACCCAAAAAAATCCTAAACCTAAGAGGAAAGCTTCTAAACCCTAGGTTTGAGTCTCCAGCAGAGCCGCCAACTGTAATAACCGGCTAAAAATATAGAGTCTCCACCATTAATTTTTATCCTAAGACGGGAATATAACGGAATAATCCTAATTGATGATACAGAGATTCTTAACTTGCTTTAGATGACGAAGGGAAGGTGTTAGGCACCCTTCATCTACCTTGTTCATAAGGATACTATGATTTAGGTTTAATGTTTAAGAATAAGGTTTTAATTTTTTAGTTAAGGGACTCACCACAGTTTTTAAGTCGTATGCCTACGTATCCTCTTATGAGGAGTTAGAGTCCCAATTCGTAGTTCGTAGTGTTTGGTTAGTTTTTTTATGGGTTATAGAAGTGTTTCGAATTCCCTTTGAACCAAGGTTGAGTTTGTGAATAGCGGAATCGTAGACGAAGTTCCGATAAGAAATATTTATACAACCCTTTTTTGAAAATAATATGAATTTGAATTAAATTAGTAAAAAGATGTTAGTAGTTAATTGGTTAGCTGTTTTCAAGTATATGATGTAATATGAGAGAAATAGATTTTAATGCATGAGAAAAATATTTAATGCAATTAAAGAAAGCTTAGTATTTTAAAAAGAATTTTGATTAATATATGACTATTTTATAGTTACCAAAAATATATTAAATATTTTTAAATAACTAAAAAAATAACTATTTACTAATTATACAAAAATAATTTTTATGTAAATGCTAAAAAGGATATGAATTTCAATAATTAACTAAAGTAAATTAATTAAAATAATTATAAAATTATTTATTTAAGCTACATGGGGTGCAAATATTAAGGTTGGGTGGTGTATGAGAAATTAGTCTAGGCCCAAAAGAAAAATTTAAGCCCAAACAGTCGGGGGTGCATTTTGTGTTGAGTGGCAAAAACCAGGGATGTGAATATCAAGGCCTAAATCCAGATATTGGATTTGACCCAATTGCGCAGGGGGGTGTCATTTTGATCCAAGTAGTAAATCTGAGAGATCTAAATAGCAGGGCCCAAGTTCAGAAATTGAAATTGGCCCAAATAAGCAGGTGTGTGTGTGTTTAATTTGGAAGTAAAAATGGTGTGTGTATACAGTAACGAGCTTGAGTCCAACATATGTTTTAAGTCCACTAACACCTGGGGGTGCGTTTTGTGGTTAGGAAAGAGTAAAGGGGAAAAGCGGGGGTGCGGTTAAGAATTGGGCTTGAGCCCAGAAACACATTGGTGGAGGGATCTGTTTGGATCGTGTGAGGAGGGCGCGCATGATATGGTGAGGATGTGCAATTATGAAACGTTTGATCAAGATCAGAGGGCGGAGATGTGAGGGCGCACGGTAAGTGAAACGCAATGGATTGCAGAGATATTACATTTTCATTCTTCATTAATATTTCATTTCATTTCACTTTGTCTTCTCTCTCTTTTCCTCTACTCTTGTTCTCTCTTCTCTCATCTTCTCTCTTCCTCACAGAACGAAACAACAACAACCCTAAACCAAATCTGGTGGCGGTGACCTAACCCTTAACCCTAACCCCAAATCTCAACAAGAAAATAAAAAAATCAAGCTAAGTGCAACCGGGGGTACCTCTATCGTGGTGAATCTCTGTGTTTTTTTTATTCTCGGTCCGATTCGTTTTTTATCCCTCTTCTCTTTTGTTTATAGGTATGATCGAAGATGATGGTGGAAGCAGAGGCGTAACGGATGAAGGCTTGAAGGCGACGACGATGACACCACATATCTAGGGTTTCAAAAATTGAAACTCAGATCTCTCTTCTTCTATTCCTTCTTTTGCTCCTACTGTAATAATTTTTTTCGTCCCCCTGGTCTTAGGGATATTTATAGTTTTTTAGGGTTAAGTATTTTAGGAACTTTCATTTGATTTGCCGTTAGAAATTTTTTGATTGTCGTTAGAATTAAAGATTGATTGATTGTAATTGATTTTACTTCAGATTTGTTGTAATTTTGGACGATTTTGTATAACATTCAATCTGTGAGATACGATTTTGATTCAATAAGATTTGATTATAATTGTGTAATTTGATTTTGTTCATTGATTTGTTTTCTTTTTATTCATGCGTTTTCTGAATTCTGGTCTTGGATTGAGATGAAGAAGAACAGAGGTAACAACGGCGCCGCTGAGTATAAAGGGTTATAACCCTAGTTGGACTTTTGGTCAAACTTATTTTTTTTAAGAAAAAATAAAATAATAATACTGATAAAAATAATAATAATATTAACATTAAATAATGATAATAATTATAGTTAGTGTAATAATAATAATCACTATATTTAATGGTAATAATAATAATAATAATAATAATAATAATAATAATAATAATAATAATAATAATAATAATAATAATAATTAAAGTAAAATAAAAAATAATTTAAATGAATGTTGACTTCAGTCAACAAAAACCTAACATGATGGGTTTCGAAAATAAATCGATATGGACCTGCAATTTTTTTTAATGGCTCAGATGAATTCAACAAAAACGCACTATTTGCACATACTCAACAAAAGCTGTAATGGATCATCATATCATAAATGGTCCATTTAAAGCCTTATTAGGCACACGCCCTCCTCTAATGAGTCTCAAAAATACTTTAATGGGTCATCAGATTTAATGGTCCATTTAACAAAATTATTAGAATTCAATCAGAAATTACTAAAAAGAAAAAGTTGATTATCGATGCCCTAAAACAAATTTGAGGTATGACATCAAATATATTTTAACGAACACTAAAAATTTAATTATTATAAATTATTGTCGAACATCTATATAGACATCAATATAAAATCTTGAAAATTAGTTTACATATATTCAGAGATGCACTTTGAAAACATTTTAAATTTTTCGTTTAATAAATGAACCCTGAACCCTTTTAACCGAATTCATTGTTTTATGAAGAGGCCGGTCATCATTCATGAAACGAAAATAAACATTTATATTCTTACAACAATATAAACCCTGGTTATACTTTTTATTACTAACTAAAACCCTAAATCAACAAAAGTCAGCAGCTACAGCAAATGAAAAACGCAACGCACCCCGTCACTGAATTATCTCGCAACATACCGAAGCTACGTTTCGCCTCGTGATTCTGCGACTTCACACCCCAAAGCAATGAAGAACAAGAAGAACCACGGCGAGAACAAAGGGAAGAAGAAGATGATGAAGAACAAGGGTAATTCCAAGCCTGACAAACCATCACACAATGATGACAATACCATTGACGATCCTCGATTTTCATCTGTTCACACTGATCCTTCGTTTCCCGCGAGGCTCCAAAGCATCAAACAAAGGTTTCAATTGATTCTCGATTCCACCGCATGTTCACTCACAAGAGTTTTATGCCTTCTTCTGCTCCTGTTGATAAGAGAGGGTAAACCTAAAGATAAAGCTAATTCGCAACCACATTCGCTTCGCCATTACTATAAAATTGACGAAGATGACAGAAAGAAAGTTGATGAGGACAGTGATGATGATGAAGAAGAGGGATTGGTGAAAGTTGATTCTGCAAAAACCTGAGATTCAAAGTGGAATTGAGTCTGAAGAGACGAGTGAATCTGAACCGGGTGATATAGACTCGGATGCGGATCAGGATCAGGATCAAGACACTGATGTAGATACCGATACCTGATGGAGATATAGATGAGAAAGATTATGAAGAGGAAGCACCTGAAATACAGGTAACTTCTGAAAAAAATTTGGATTATTTCAAATCGGATGGGCCGGAATGAGAAATTGGATTCTTATTTTTATTAATATTATCATGTTGTCATTATTATTATAATGACAGGAAGAGATAGCAGAGATTGAGAAAGAAACTCACAGGCTTGCTGTTGTTAATATGGACTGGAGGTATGTGAAGGTGAGTTATCAAAGCCTAATGTTTTGTTGATGTGATCAATTTTTAATATGCGAAATATTTTATTTATATATGTTTTGTTTGGAGGATGGAAGATTTTGTTTGGTTAAAATGTTGTTTGTGTTTTTTTGGTTGTAGGCTGTGGACTTGTATGTGTTATTTTCTTCATTAGCCCCGCCTAATGGACTGATCAAAATCGGTAACTATTTATCCAACTGAGTTTGGACTTCAACGAATGCAAGAGGAGGAAGTTAAAGGGCCTGTGGGTCTATTTGATGGTGAAAATGAAACAAGTGACAACGAAGATAATGGCGACAGTGATGCTGACAATGAGAAGCTGCGTGCATATGAGAAGAGCAGGATGCGGTAAATAAACAATATTGATTCCTGTTGTGATTTATTGGTTTGAATGCAGTATAGAATAGATTAAGCTTTGTGGTAAATATACCATTCATTGTGTCAAGGAGCAACTCTTGTGAATGTTACAAATATATTTTTACACATGATATCGTAATTGGGAAATTTAATCTGTGAAGATTTTTTTGTTTCCTCCTATCTTTGTTATCCTCTTTTCCTTATAATCTAGAATGGGTTAGTGTGGTCAACAATGTTGTAATGTCATGTAAACTTTTTTTTTTATGGAGATTACAGTATGTCACTAGTCAAGACCCAAGTTTCACGTGTTCATTCAAGTTATTGTTATTCCTATTCCATGTTTACTATGTGATGTGCCCGTCTCCCTTTTTTCCTCTCTTACCATCACGTAACTTGATTCTTTATCTGGCTCTTCAGGTACTATTTTGCTTTGGTGGAATGTGACTCAAGTGCCACAGCAGACCATATTTACAAAGAAAATGATGGTGTTGAGTTTGAACACTCGTCTAATCCACTTGATTTAAGGTTTATTCCGGACAATATGGATTTCAAACAGCCACCCTAAGGATGTTGCAACAGAGGTATTTAACATTTATATATGCTGTATTTATGAATTACAATAGTAGTTGGAAGATATTGACTCATTTCTCTTCTTAGACACCTGCAAACTATGAGAACAAGGATTTCTATTCCCGGGCACTTCAGCACAGTAAAGTTGAACTTACTTGGGATGAGGATGAACCTGCACGAGCAAATACTTTGAAGCGCAAATTCAATGATGAGCAGGTCAGTATATTGTATTAATCCATTGTATAAGTCGTGGATAAATTTCTCTCTTTGAAAAATATTGGCTGGTGTTACCTTGGAACCTCTGACTAGTTACTAGTTACATCTTTTTTTATTTTGTCATTTCCAAGTAGTGTCCATATTTATAAAGTTATAGAGTTCGATGCTGCCAATAAAATACACTCAATTTAGTGATGGATGCCTGTAAATATCCATGCCATCCACATACATATATGCTCACAAACTGCATCTTTATATACTGGCATTCTTTTGTACCTTAATAACCAGTACAAATGTTATAATGTGCCTTTTTTTGTTAATTGTTATGTATCTGTGTGGTAAGAGAAATTAGGGATCATTGATATTCTTTATGCAATGATTTTATATTATTTATTTCATGTAGCTTGCTTTGTAATAACTTTTTGTACTAAGCTGTAAGTTTTTATTTTTCCTTTCCACGATAATAGCTGGCTCAGTTGGAAATGGATGAATTAGTTGCATCTGATGTGAGTGAAAGTGATGACAGTGAGGATAACAATGAGACTGATGGTCATGCTGATAAAAAGGCTAGAAAAAAAAGCAATGTATATTAACTTGGTCCGCGATAATTCCGATGAAGATGCTGAAGAGGATGGTGTCCAAGATATGGAGGTGACCTTCAATACAGGTTTGGAAGATATAAGGCAAACATATTATGGAAAAGAAGGATAAAAAATCAAAAACTGTTTGGGAAGAAAATCTGAGGAAACAACTTGAGAAAAAGAGAGCCAGAAGAAATAAATCGAAGTACTCATCAGATGATGATGATGATAGTGATAATACTGTTCAAGAAGCAACTGAAGAAGCAGAAGACTTCTTCATGGGGGAACCTGATATTACGAAGAAGAAGAAGAAAAAGAAGGCAGAAAGTAAAAATGACAAAGATCAGAAGCTTCAAGATTTGGATGGGGTAAGCAAAGAAGAGCTTGAACTATTGCTTGCTGATGACAAGGGGACAGATACTGGTCTCAAGGGATATAATATGAAGTTTAAAAAAAGGCAAGGGCAAAAAGACGGAGGGTGTGCTATTGATGAGGGGAAAATACCAAACAGTGCATATGAGGATCCACGTTTTGCATCTATTTACTCACCTGACTTTGCTATTGATCCCACCCGATCCACAATTTAAAAGGTATTTTATGACATATATATTTGATTATGGTACATGGTAGAGAAACAGTAAGAACTTGATTTTTCATCATGACTATTTCACTTCAATAGGGTAAACTTGGGGTATTGTTGTCAAATATTGAAAAGGAAAAAAAAATTGCATGAAAGATATGTTTGCAACTATTAAAGCTACATTAACCTAGCAAAACTTTTCTTTACTAAATAAGATTTGCAAGTTGCTGATGTTTTTATCGCATGATAATATTCTCTTGTCTATGATTGCTGAGATTGAAATGGTCTTGATCTCTAATATAATTGTGAATGATTGCAGGAGCGCGGTCTATGTGAGGCAGCTGGCACAGAAGCAGCAGAAGGGTCATATGGAATTACCGGCAGAAAAGGAGCACACAAAGTTGCCGAAAGAAACAAAGTTGCCTTCTGGTGAATCTGCATGACGCAGAAGGGTGAGGAAGAAGGGTTGGATGATTTAGAGCTATCATCTATGGTTTAAATCGATTAAGATGAAATCAAAACAAATTCAGCAATCCTCTGATGGAAGAAAAAAGAAAGATGAAAAATCACAATTTAAAGGGAGGGAGAAAAGGAGGCAATAAGTCTCAATTTTGTGGTCCAATCTACTTGCTTGAATGCAAGAAACCAACGAACATATGTTGTTATATCCTCTTCCACATGCAGGCAAAATTATGGGGAAAAAGGTGCGTATTGGATGTATTCAGGCTCAGCTAGTTTATTCTTTTGTCAAGAACTTTCTTAATCACACAATGCTTGTTAATTATTTTTGCTGCAAACTAGATGGATATTTTTGTTGAATTTAATATTTATATATAACTTCTCATTGGAGAAGAAGACAAGAGCCTCCTAACCATTGTTCTAAGCCTCTAGTTTTTTGTTGTTGTCAAAGTTGGCACTTATTTAAAACGAGTCAAATCCAGTAACCTATACATCAGAGGTTTAAACGCACTTTGGTTTAAGTCAAAGCTTAACGGATTGTATCAAAGCATACACATATCATTGCTGCGACACACTCACTTGCAACAGATTAGTTCGAACAAACCTCAAACACGTCATGTAAAGCCAGATAAAATATTTTTTGTTAACAATTCAAACAAACTCGTCTTTACATTTCTTGAGCCACTTTCTTTCTGAATTCATCTCTTTTATCTCCCCATTCTATCTGCATCAACAACTTATGTCTACGTTTGCAGAA